TGATTTTATAAAAGTAGGAAGTAATACCATTTCAGTAATAGTCTTAGTGAAAATAAATAGCTTACGATTCTTTGCTACGACTCATTCGCTACATATTTTGCTATAGCTCGCTCTGTACGGTGATCTTCAACATGGGCAGTCAATGAACCAAGGGTTCGGAGCCTCGTTCTGCAACGTGGGATTGGGCACGGTAGATCAACTTCTTCTTCGGATGACGATCCTGAATCTTGATTCAAGACCATCTCCAATTTAACTGAGCGTAGTCTGAAACCTGGAAGCACATTACCACCATCGAGATCTCGCCATTTGTGATTGTGGACGCAATGTACCTGTCCATGTTCGTCAAGCTTGTACTCGTAAATGATGCGATGTTGAGGTCGGGGATCAATCAGCCATCCCAACTGAACGCCATGCGGAATATACTCATCTCGCATCTTGCGATCGAGTGCCTTGCGTTGTGAGTTTCTATCAGCAAGCTTGTCAATCTCTACGACGAATGTTGGAACATATGGATCGCCACGACACGTCCGATTTTGCTCATTGGTTAGAGCTCTGTCGACGTCTCGCGGTGTGTATGCGACATCAGGCATTCGAACTTTCCGTTCGTCGGTACCTTGCTCGAGAATGAAAGCTCCTTGTGAGGTTGTTACTCTGCCACCATGACCTGACCACCTGGACCATCCATCCAGTAGACTTGTTATCTTGGCTGCAACTTTCGCATTGCCGTATACAACCATTCTATATGGCGTGAAGAAGCCTTCGTCAATGAAAAATTCTGGTTGCTCACCGAAAACAGGGTTGTAAAGCGGACCTTGCTTCTCCACGTACTGATTGAGTTCGTCAAGCGTGATCGCAGGGTAGTCACGAACGCGGCACAAAATCTTCTTCGTTTTCAAGTCGTACACCAGCTGCGCAAGACTCTTCTGATGTTCTTTTTTCTGATCAACCATCTTTGCTTTCTTTTTTGTGAGGTACTTTCTTGAATGACAAGAGAATATCACTAAACATGGAAGACAAATACTCCGTTTTAATGACCAAATTTATCGAAGACACCTTAACCTAAGAACCAATACCTGAGGATCAATACAAAAACGCAGTCGAATACAAGGCTCAGGCTCGACCTATATTTTGAGACCTCGTGAGAATGACATATTGACCAAGTGTCATCAAATCATCAATGACACAACGCTGTCATCATCGCCTCTTGATGAGAGACTATCACTATCTATTGTTGTTATAATCAAGTGTGGTCAAAAGAATAAAGGCGGAATGACACAATGACACAATGACAC